TACTGTTACATCTTTGATTTTTGCTTCAGGGAGACAATATATCTCTCTAGATTGACTGCCTGGTCTGCAGACTATAGTTTCTGTTCCCCTAATAATTGAATCCCCTATCACCAATATTCACCATTTTTTTCTTAGGGAAGTCTGATATGCTTTTCTTCGTGTCGCAGGAATGCTGAGTTGTGCCTCTCTTTAAAGAAACTATTGATGATGCTCTTTTGTGGGTGTCTGCCTATTTTCTTCCAGGGGGAGGCTATGAAAGGAACTGTTCAGTTCCAGAGGGGCTTCATTGGAGTGGGGCTAGGACAGAGAGTAGGGGCTTTGCCCTTGGTTGTTTTCTTCTAAAAGTGACATGTTTCCCTCAGCCCTGCTCTTTAGGTACGTATGTAGGCTTGTTTTTTTTTTTTTTACAGAAGGTGCTTGTTCATTATTGTGTTCAGTTTGGGTGTATCTGTTTTCTTCATGTTCATATATGGGGTAATTTTTTTAAAAGCTGTTTGCTCTCAATTGTGTTTTATTTTGGTGTGGTCTTTTGGTTAGATTGGAATTTCTCGCTTTGTTCATTGAGTTGCTTCTAGACCCTTTTTTCTTTTAATAATTCAAGTAGTTTACATTTGATACATGTTTGGTCTTCTGTGGGCATATGTTGAAACATATGGCACACTTTGCAAGGCACTGTATTATCAGTCTCTATTTCCATAACTTTGGTTTTTTTTTTTGTTTAGAAATTAAAAATTAAATATTTTCCCTGTTGCAGAGTATCAGTTTACAATACAATAACAAGACAATATTTTACAACTACAAATTCACTACTGTGATGTCAAAAGGCCAGTTTGCAGTCTAAGATTACAATGGCCTAATTTATATAATTGCACACATTGCTGAGAACAGGTACAAATGTTGAGAGTTGTTCATTTTGTTTTGCCTTTGATCATTCTGTTCAAGATAGCAGTGTTGAGCTGGCATGGCTATGTGTTGATATAGGCTCTCCCCGGGTGGCATCTGACAATTTTTCTCCCTGGCCATTGACATACCCTAATCCTGACTCTCCCCACTTCCCCAGCATCAAATTCACAGTTGGACAAGGCAAGGAAGGCATCATTGACTTCACCTCAGGATCCGAGCTGCTGATAGCCAAAGCCAAGAACGGTCATCTGGCAGTCGTAAGTAACCCTTTGCTTGCCAAAGCTGAAAGCAGCCACCTCCTTCCCTGGGCTGGGCACCCAGTAGTCGGGCCTCTTTCTGAGGAAAGACCCACATCTCTTACTGCTTTTGTCTGTACTTCAGGTGGCTCCTCGTTTGAATTCTCGATGATGGTGATGGACACTTCTCTACAAGGGGCCGTAGTGATCATGGCTGGAGGTTTTCCTTGCCCTCTTCTTCAGTGAGGGGCCTCAATTTGCCTCTGTTCTCTCTGCCCACCAATGACCCTCCTTTATTCTGCCCTTGGTTTTCCTTCTACCCACACCCAATCCACCAATCGGCCCTAAACAGACTGGCAGCCACGATGCCCACAAAGAGAGTGAGGTAACCTGCAGAGTTGCCAATAAATCCCAGTAAAATGCCAAATTTTATATGAAAATATTTTATAAAGAAATCTCGTTTTGGGGTGCTTTGTATGAAAATATAAAAAGCCATAATGTACAGATGAAATTTTGTAAATATTTCCTCCTTGTATGGGATGTTTGCACTATGGAAATTATTTTCTTATTTCTAATTGGAGAAATTATGATAATCCAAGAAATATCAGCATTCTTGGCATTTCTATATTCTCCCCCTTTCCTTTCTTGGAAATTTCCCAAGACTTGGCAATTGCTGGTTTGGATGGATAACTTATATCTGCACTTTGACTTTGCCAAAGGGCGTTCAGCAATATCTTCTCCACAAACTGACCCTTGTAAAATGGGTTTTCCATTACAGCCTTCAGCACAATATTCATGGTCTCTAGTCCTTGCAGGGACATATGAAATATCAAACAAAAAACTATAAGAGCAAAAAAATTACTGAAATGCATTTTTGAAAACAGTGATGTAAAGTGGTAGAATCTTCAGATTGGGAGGTTCTAAATATTTGGTGTTTTTTTTTAATGTGTATCTAGTAAGACACTAAGTCTGCCTTGTAACTTTTTACTTTGGCTTCAACATTTTCATGACACTGACATAGCTTCAAAACTAGAGTTTGCATATGCCAGGCAGTTTGTTGTTTGCTGTCATACAAATGGACAGTATCTACATTTTGATTCTTTCATGAAAACTGTTTAAATGATTATTGCTTTGTGTGCAAGCTTCCTTTTAAGCACTGGGCTATTCTGCCTGACTCAGAATTTTAAAAATTTTAATCATCTTATTCTAGCTTGAGAAATCAGCTGTTCAAGGAGCCAAGTTTGTTTATTGTCCTCTGAAAACTACACTAAACTCACGTTTCTGAATTGCAAAGGAACATTTACAGCACAAAGATGGGAGAACAAGCTGCTTCAGTGCTTACGCCTGTTGATCTGGAACAAGCTTTTTGTATTGCTTACATAGAATCGGTATCATTTTGTGTTTGTGCTTTACTTACTGCAGCCCAGGTTCAAAGGTAGAATTCTCCTTCCCTACATGGTGACAAATGTTTTATGTCATTTCTAAAATGGGGCCTATGCTATAGTGTACATAAGATTTAAGGCTCTGTGCAGTGCGATATGAATCAAGATATGCCAAATAAATTTTTGCTAAAAACTCAAGTTTCTTTGGTTTGTTGACTGTGCTGAAATTTGGCAAATTACTTTGTAATCAACCCATACTGCCTTATTTGGGCCATTTAAACTTGCTTCCCCTCTCCTCTCAGCCTGACGCACCACAGCCCAGTGCTGGGAGATGGGCAAAGCCACCCCCATCCCCAAGTACTTGGGGACAGTGAGAAGATGGAAAACACCTGTTATTTACAGGACAATCTGGGCTGGCAACTGGCCACGGTTTGATGCAACTTGCATTTGTTAAATAGAGTGGATTTCTCAAAATGATGCAGTTAAATGTCTTAAGCCAAAGGCTGAATCTTCCCATTTTTCCCAGATTGAACAAGCAAATGTACATAAACCAGTTACTGTGTAATATGGATCACTCCACAAGCTGTGTCTTAATCACTAGGCCATTGCCCCCATCCACACCTACTTAGGGCACTAACTGAAATGAGCGAGATCCTTAGTTGTGCAAACAGGACCTCTGAATTATTCTAAATCGTTGACTCCTAGCTATTGTGTACTGCTGCTAGTTGCCATTTTTCCTCTTTCCAATTTTTTAGAGTTCAGAATGCGGACAGGTGTTCTTGTCTTATCACACACTAATCATTTTTAGGACTATATTACGAACCTTGAACTAACGTAGCTGCTGGACTGTACCACATGCCCCATGCTTACATCCTCAAAGCCCCATATGTAATTTAAAAAATTCACACTATGCAAATATATTGTGACCTTATAATTGGTCCATTGAAGCTGGGCAACGTTTAGAGCTCACAGGTACAAATGTAGCCTTTATCTGCAGCTCCCTAAAAGTTACTAGCACTTCTGCATGCTCTCGATCACACCGTGGTCTTGAATGCGATGCTCCCTGCAGCTTTGGGACAACCATTAAGGCCAAAAAATCCATCCACTCCACCTCCAATCAGCAGCTGTGAATACCCAGGTTTGCCCCGATGAGGGTACCAGGGTAGGACCAGCAATGGTGCTCTATAAAGCAAACAGCAGCATTCTGGCCAGTGGCAAGTGATGGGTGAGATATTTTGTGAAGATGGGGCTTCCTGGAAGCTACTTTGCATGAACAGTAGATGTGCGCCCTTTTAGCCTGCCACTTCCTCTCTGCCCAACTGGATCATGGCAAGGGCTCTGAGTAAGGATAGCTCACCAATTTTATGTCCACCGCTGTTTTTACCTGGGAAATGATTAGAGGGGCCAACAAGGGCTCAGTTGACACCTGCCAGGCTTGAGTCACACCTCTGAAGATGGAGCAGTGGGTTCAGCCTGATGTTCTCCGGCTCTGGAAGTCTGCATCACCCCTGGCAGACACCCAGTGTGAGTCAATCACCCATTCCGCCACTTGAAAGGAGAGCTGCACTTGTCTCAACTGGTCACCCTGCCCTGTCTGCCCATCGGAAAGGGCAAGAAATCCTATAGGTATTCAAGCTGCTAGGTAAAAGTTCTGGAAAACCCGTTTAATGCAAGCTGCCCTCTTGGCCCAATCACCCCCAGAAGACATAAGCAGGAGCAGCCCAAACAGGCTGCTGCCTTGTCCTTGGGAGACACCCTTCTCCCATCACCTAGGCTGCCAAGAATGGGCTTGGAAGTCCCCCTTACACACAGAAGCCTCCTTATATGGACTCTGCACAGGGCCCATGGTTGAAAGTAGGGAGGTGGCAAACAGGAAGGCTTCTCAGGCTCCAAGCGAAAGAGGCTTTGAAATGGGAGTCCCCAAGGTGGCCCACAGATGCAGCACACACTGCTTCGCTGGCACACCCCTCGCCCTGCCCTACCCGACAGAGGTATCCCCATGCTGGTAAAACCAGGGATGAAAAAATGGTATCCTAGAAGCCGGAAGGCTCTTCAGTGCTGAGGTTTTTTCCCCCGGAAATAACTAGCCGAGGGGTGTCAAACTTGCATTGCCACCTCGCGTGGTTTTTCCCCCCCCCCCCCCCCCCCGCTAAACGGGTCGGCATGGCCAGCACCTGACGCATCCAGACACCCCTGAACTAGCCTAAGGAATGTGTCAGTCATTTCAGCAAGGCCAAACCTCCTCCTCTTTTGGGGGGGGGGGGGGGGAGAGGGAAAGGAGGCGGCTTCCATGGGATCAGGGAAGCTGCCTTCTCACAAAGTTGCCATTTGTTGCATCTGCTCTCAGACAGCACTTGGGGCACACACTCTGGGCCTTCCCAATGGTGCTACTCTCTCAAGAGGTGAAATGCTTGATGCTGGGTGATGGCTGAGAGGCTCCCCACTTTTGAAAGGCTTGTGCAGAGAGGGCGCCAAGGTGCAGAATCTTTACACAGTATTTTATTTATCCAACAGACTTGCTGCTCACTCCAAAGGGGAATCCCAAATGAAACTAAAAGGCAAGGATACAGGTCAGACCAGAGGTATGTGATAAGGCATTCACAGACAAAACAAAAAAAGAGCCAAATGTTTCTGAGTGTATGTTAAAATTTCCACACAATCCCTCCAATATTTACTAGCCCGTGGCCTAAAGAAATGAACAAGGTATAAGTTGAGTTGAACACTGAAAGGAAGCAGCTGCTGAGAAAGTCAAGAGGGCGAGAGAAAGGAAGAGGGGAGATGGGGGGAAGAAACACGGCTTGATTTTCAAAGAGGTGCTCTAGCTCAACCTGACCCACTCTGTTTATCTGCTTAGAAGATGGAAGCATCAACCTCAATGTCGCCATCGTCAAGCAGATTGAACGTTCAAGGGTAGAAGAGGGTGTTCTGTATCCAGCCACAAATTTAGATTCACAAATCCTGGCCGAGGCCGTCTAGTGAAATTACAGCCACCAACAGTCCATAAACTCTGCTTTTTCCTGCTACTTGTTCTGCCTGCAACCTCTTGGCTGAATAGGGACCAGGGTAAAGTAGCAGTAGTATTTGGCATTGTTTTAATTTAGGGTTGTTTTATTTAAGTTTAATGTTAATTCCATGCTGTGTTTCAGTAAGAACAATACAGATCCTGTATCTGTGGCTCCAGTCAGATATCCAGTAGTACAAATTAGCTTCAAGTTACACATACTGAACAAAAGAGGTTGAGCTAGCAAAGAGGGCAGGGAAAGGGAGAGAAAAATATTCAACACACATGCAGGCTTTTCAACGCCACCTTCAATGCTCACCTGCTTGGAGGGAAAGTAAAGAGAAGGCAAGAATGAGCAGCCACGGATTGTGAACCGTTACCAGCACCCATCACCTCAGCAGTTTTGGGTTTTCGTTTTGTTTGACAGCAAAACCATTACAAGAACTGTTCCAATGAAACCTGTAACTTCAAGCTAAACGCCCAATTTTAAACACTGGTATAAAATTGTTTAAACAATTATAAAAAATGAAAAATGCCACCATCTGCACTTCACAGTGCAAAATACTTTCCCTAGAATTCTAATGGCTTCCAGATGTTACCTCCAACTGACAGAAGACACACAATAATTCAGAAAAAGCCTCCATGCAGCCAGTCCGGTTAGTGTCTTAAAGAAACTGAAAGCTGGCACCAGTAAAATCCACAGACATTCACTCTTGCCTTTTAAAGAACTTTTCAACTGTGTAAAAAAAAAAAAAAACCAACAGGGTAGGAACCTAAATTCTGGGGCCCATCACAACGTCAGATAAGATGGCTCCCAGGGAGACTGAGGGACTTTGAGGGAGAAGGGGGCAGAAGGGGGACAAAGATGGGGTCTTTTATTGGCCTTGATGTCTCACTGGGTCTCGTCTTCCACATCCTGCAGTGCTTCTTTACTCTGTTCTTCACCTGGGAAGAAAAATCAACACGGTTAGGCCCTGCAAGAGGGAAGCAGGTGCCACCACCCTGCCTTTAAGGAACACCCACACCCACCCACACACACAAGCAGGGCAGTCCATACAGCCCAAGACACAGCAGAGGGGCAGTGACCAGAAGGCCCAATCAAGGGAGCAACCCCCCCCAAAAGCGTTCTTCTCTTTCCCTTCCACATGGAAACCGGGTGAAGACAAAGGAAGCCATGGCAGGGCCAACATTTCATCCGCAAGACTAGTTAGTTCATCTTGCAAACCTATCCCACTAAGAGCAAATTGTCTATCCCCAAATACAAGCAACTATGGACAAAAACGACTCAGGATCCTTTTGACCACAGATGTTTCCATGCTTCTCGTTAATTTGGAGCCTCCCGATCCAACTGACGCATGCAACAAAGATGGGCTGCTCCACTGCATTCTGCCAAGGGCGAGCTGCCCCTGCCTGGTTCTCTGCGCACAAGCACACAAGTCCCCCTAAGATCAGGAGACCACACGTCTAACACGGCCTGACATGCAGCGGGGTCACATCAACCAGCAGAAAAGCTCGGCTTTCGCCATGCCAGTCCTTTAGACACTTCAGGAATGGTTCTTGTGCCAGTAAAAAGGGAGCCTGTGTACAACCTGCCCTACTTCCTGGTTCAAAGGGAAAAAATTCAGAGGAAAAACAGGCTAAGTTGTGACTTTACCCTTATGGGATGCAACAAAAGGACCGACCATCTCCGAGGGTGTTCAGTCAAGCATCCTGCTTTGGGGGTGGGTGTAAGATGCCAGATCTAATTGTATTCACAGACCTTCACTTGGGGAGGGGGGGGGGCGCGGGAGAGACAAGAGTTGGTGCATAGCCCTGGCATGAGTCAGAGATGCAAGCATAATGCAAGCATGATTAGTGAGTGACAAGGAGGGGAAAAAAGGTATTCTCCAGGGTCATCATGAAGACTTACAAAGTAGAGTATTAGAAAATGAACAGGTGGAGTTCCTTTTAAGAATCTACATAATGGAAAAGGAAGGGAAAAAATAGCAGTTAAGAAAAGGAAACCTATTGAGTTTGACTACGATTAGAAAAAAGCATGAGAAGGGGAGGAACCTCAGCCCAAATGTACATGTTCAGCACTGAAATTGTAAGGCATCAGAAAACAGGAAAGCAACACACACACACACACACACCCAAACAAGGGCCCCTGCATTCTGCCCCCAGCCCCCTCTCTCCTAGAACCCTAAGCCCAACCCTTTAGGACAGGAATTCTGCAAACAGGACAGTAACCAAGAAACCCAATTCTATCTTCTCATCCTGTATTCAACAGCCAGCAAGATACAAATTCCTGCACTTCCCATAGCATCGGGTTTCTGTTGGAGCAGCACAAACCAAGACCGACAGGATTGAATTGTCATGCAGCTTCACTTAGAAAGGGTAATTATTTAGATGCTACTGTTCTTTGTTCTAAGGACTAGCCAGGATTCGGTGTCTGACCTGGAGACCAGCTGACTGGGAACTGTCCACTGAATTCAGCGGCTGGCAACCTTCTAGGTTTGAAAACAGGGAGGGCGGTTGGAGAAAACACGTGCAGAACTTCAGAGGCTGTATAAATACATTCTGCTGCCAAGCAACAGCGTGTTCTCTTTAAGTAAAAGCCACGAGAATTTCCTTCCGGAAGCTTGATGTGCACTTCCTTTCTCTGTGCTGTCTTTGCTGAGACCCCAGTCATCTCTTCAAGGTCTCCCATCCCAAGAAAAGGACAAGACCAAGTACACCTCAGTCTCCTGTTGATGGAGACGGTGTTGGGAAACCAGACTGGCAGGCAAAGAACAAGCTCCCCAGCCTCCCCCAGTTCTCATTTCACCAGGTTTGGGATAGAGAGAGAGAAAAAAATTAATTTTGATGAAACTAACTGGGAAAGAGATGGGACAGACCGGAACAGCGTTAGAAAAGCAAGGAGCCTGTCCTCTCTGTGGTTCGGTATAAAGGAGAAAATGCTCTGCATGTTGGCTGGCAGCATTAAATCTGCAAAGTTCGATATACTCCTAACAGGAGAGCAGAAACCAACTGCTGGCAGCCTGGAGGGTTAGATTGCAATGCAGCCTTACTGTGTGACAGGTCTTCAAGAGGCTGGGGCCAGAATTAAAGCTGCATCAATGGGGAGTGGAATACCGCAGGGGGTACCCTACACCGGGGCCCTCTCGTGTCGAGCGAGGCATCGGTTGCCACTTGCTTTCCAAGCCCAATTCCAGGCACTCATCTTACACGCTTTAGACTCAAAAGGAACTGCAAGACCCACGCAGGGAGTTCTTTGCACTCCTGGGTCCTCAGCGGAAACCCTTTGCGGCCATTTCCAGGGGCGTATTTAGGAAGCCATTTTCTTTTTGACATGGCGGGTCCCATGCTATGGAATCAACTGCCCACAGAGAGCTTAAAATCTACTTTTTTAAAAAGAATTTCAGACATTGTACTGCTTTGTTTCAAAGTTTCCAAAGTGATAAATGCTCTTACATCTTTATATGCAATATACATAGTCTTGTGAACTGCCTCAAGCTATTGGAATGAGTGTCAGCTAAATGTAAGAACAATTACAGCAATAAACCCTGCTCATTATAGACACTATATGGGACCCAAGGGAAAAGAGATGAAAGAACTTTAGATGGTCAGCTTCCTATCAGATCAAAACTACGATCCTCACCGCTATATACATGGGATAGTAATCTGGTTTCTCACCAGAGCTGTTTGGTGAACTTTAACATTTCACCTTCCAAGTAATTTATCTCAAAGTCAGCTTCAAATTTCAAATAACACAACTTGCTTATTCGCCTACCAGATTTTCTTCTCAAAAGTGCTGTGAGTCCTATGCTTATCTATTTATAATTCTGTCCCCTGCTATTCAATGGGACCTTCTTGGAAGTATGTTTAAATTTAACCTTTACCTCATGATACATCTTGCCTGTTACTTTTAAATGAGTGCAGAGCACCAGACAAAAAAGCTCTGAAAGAGACATAATCCTGCAGTGCAAAAAATACATGAAACCACGCACAATCCAGGAAAACACAACATACACACAAAAATGTTTGTGAACCTTTTAGAACATTCAATATTTCTGCCTGAATATGATCTAAAACATATCTTTTCCACACAAGTCCTAGAACTAGACAAAAAAACGCCAAATAAATGTCAAAAACATACTCTGTTCATTTATTCACTGAAGAAAATTATCTAAAGTTCCATATTTATGTGTGGGGAAAAGTGTATCTCTAGGGCAGAGGTCTTCAAACTTGGCAACTTTAAGACTTGTGGACTTCAACTCCCAGAATTCCTCCTCCAGTCATGTTAGCTGATGAATTCTGGGAGTGGAAGTCCACAAGTCTTAACTTACCAAGTTTGAAGACCCTTGCTCTAGGGCTACCAGCTCATTTGAAGGGGAAATTAAGAGCCAGGGATTTCAATCAATGGGGTGATGATGATCAGGTATAAGTGTGGGAAGTCCTGCCTTACCCAGAGTACAGGATTCTGGGTATTGTCCCAGGGGAGGCAACTGCTCTATTGTTTTTCTTTGAAGATGTTTCGCTTCTCATCCGAGCAACTTCTTCAGCTCTGACTGCATGGTAGGGAAAGGAAGGATTCCATCCAGTCAGAGCTGAAGAAGCTTCCTGGATGAGAAGTGAAACGTCTTCAAAGGAAAAGAAGGAAGACCAGTTGCTTCCTGAAAAAACACCTTTGGACAAACCATGACCTGGATGACTGAGAATCTCCATAGACAATTCTGGGTATTCACTTTCTAAGCCTGATCTTCACAACAAGCAATTTATGTTGAAGTGTGCCACGGCTTGAACAAAGGAGATTTTTGAGTATTTCCAAAAAAAAAAACCAAAAAAAAAAACAGGTGTTGATGTTGAGCAGACAAGAAAAGGTTGCAAAATCATTTCCAGAGAGTTTGGACTCTACCAATCTGCTGTCAGGCAATCTGTACCTAAGAAGGCAAGTCAACACCATTGTTGCCCACCCCAGGAGCGTCTGACCAACCAGGATCACACCAAGAGCAAGACCTGTAATATTTGGGAGTCTCCAAGAACCCCGATAGGGACTGAAGGCCTCTCCTGCATTGACGAGTGAGTGTCCATGTTGGTGAGGCCACCATTGAAACACTTGAGAACAATGGTGTGTGGGGCAGGGTTGCAAGAAGAAAGCCCCTTGTCTCCAAAAGGACACTGCTGCCCGCCTACAGTTTGCGGAAGGCCACGCAGGCGAGCCAGAAGGCTGTTGGGGGAGCCTCCTGTGGAACACACCAGTCGTACAATCGAAGAATGGTTACAGCAGAAGGAAATTAATGTTTGGTAGTGGCCAAGCCAAAGTCCAGACCTTCATCCTATAGAAATGTTGTGGGAGGGCTTAAATCAGGCGGTTCAAGCAGCTCACCAGCCCCCCCCCCCCCCCAAGTTCAATCTCTTCTGTAAGGATGGGGGTGGGTGGGTTGAGAATGCCAAAATCCCTCCAAGCCGATGGGCAGGGACTGACTAACTGTCCCTGGAAAGTCATTGCAGTTATTGCTGCTGGGGGGGGGCGGGGGGGGGGGCGCTGAACACCAGTTCCTAAAAAGAAAGGTTCACATATAAAATAGGTAGCTTTGGGTTTTCTCAATGAAGAAATGGCCAAATATAATGTTTTGGTTCATTTGTTTTAAGTGAGTAATCTTATCTAGCATTAGGACTTCTGGGAAGTCACATTTTAAGTCATCTTTGTGTAGAAATATTGGAAATCCAGAAGGTTCACAAACTTTTAACCATTACTATTCAACTGCCAATCGATGCTTTAATTAGCAAAAATTTATCAATGCTCAGGAGAGGAATGAATTCCAAGAGAAATTAGGCTTGAAGGATTTAAAATCATCTTTTAGATATTAATACAGTGGCTGAAAATAATAGTTTACATTAATGGCTCGAGATCCTTCCCCCTACAGTACCTATTTCTCCAATTTTGAAATTACATTGTAAGAAAGGTGTTCTATACATTTTAACAGATAACAGATAATCAGAGTTGGAAGGGACCTTGTAAGTCATCTAGTCCAACCCCCTGCCCAAGCGGGAGACCCTACACCATTTCTGACAAATGGCAGTCCAATCTCTTCTTGAAAGTCTCAAGTGATGGCGCTCCCACAACTTCCGAGGGCAAGCTGTTCCATTGGTTGATTGTTTTAGAACCCATGGCCAAACCGAGAATCGATTGCAATTGTAAAAAACAAAAATAAAGGGCTCTCCGGAGACTATCAATCTCCACGCAGCTGGAAGAACTTTGGAATTAATCAGGCAACTAGAGGGGCGGTATGCTTATAAGGATCTAGCACTACATCCTTGTATGAGAGTCATTCAACCAAGGTAAAATGAAGTAGTTTGCAGAATCCTCCCCCCCCACCCCAAAAAAACCTGTTTATTGGCGTCTAAATACTTGGCCAAAGTCAGACTGCGCGGATCTTAAGAACAAGCCCATGGCTGACAGCAGCTTCAGGTGCAAGCAAGGAGAGGGCGGGGTGCTTAAGCCCTGACAGTTCCTCTGGGTGTCTGCTGAACAGGGAGCTCTTTTCCCCATTGGTGAACCGCAAACCCCAATATACTCCATATATAAAGGACTCTCCGGGGTTGGTCCCTCTGCCGGAGACAACAACGCCACGGAGGGAAAGAAGCTATCTTTCATTTCACTCCCTACCCAGCCCTTGGCTGCCTAGACTTCCACACGGGGATATGTTCCTATTCCATTATGGTGTGCCATGAGGTCACGGGGGGGGGGGGGGGGGGCAGCGCTGGACCTGCCGGGCCTACTCACCGTCACCCTGCATGTCTGAAGTCCATAGTGTCAGGTTATCACGTAACAACTGCATGATAAGCGTAGAATCCTTGTAACTTTCTTCGCTCAGCGTATCCAGTTCTGCAATTGCGTCATCGAAAGCGGCTTTTGCCAACCTATAACCAGAGGATGACTATAGTAGCAAAACATGTCAAGGGAACCAATTGCTCCTGCCTGGCAATAACTGCCCCCGGGCTCTGCAGCAGTCTCCCTTTCCAGAGCCGGCTTGGTCCCCTGACACAATACCTACGGAGGGAACACCTTTGGGGGAACTCTGACCTTTCCTTCCTCCTCCTCCTCCTCTCCTCTGGTATTCCAGACCGATCCAAGGATGGCAACAGTCTGGAGTTCCCTGAGACACTCATTCACAGAGGGCTTTAAGGGACGAGGCTTCCTAGTAACTCCACTTTCTTTTATTAGTCTGTATGCCTCACTTACCTGCAGGCACGATCAGGAGAATTAAGAATTTCATAGTAGAAAACAGAGAAGTTGAGGGCAAGTCCTAAGCGGATGGGATGTGTTGGAGGAAGTTCTGTCATTGCGATATCACTAGCAGCTTTATAAGCCACCAAGCTGTTCTCGGCAGCTTCCTTTCGGTCATTTCCTGTGGCGAACTCAGCGAGATACCTGTGGTAGTCCCCTTTCCTGGACAAGGGAATAAAAAGCAATCAAGAGCAAGCCCAGACCTTGGATGCGCAAGACGACTTATTGCTGCAGTGGATTTCAATCTCTTTGGGCTGCTGTTATTTCTAACTAATGGGATAAAAGAGTTGAATTGTAATATTTTAAACCTGCCCACTTGCTCCCCGAGATTTGTGCAGCACCCCCCTCCCTGCATAGTGTATTTCAAAAGCCCCCAAGATCTGGCTCTTCGCTGAAGCCTTTGGCAAATGTGATTGAAATTTCACTGAGAGTCAGGAGGCACATTAATTTAATAAATCGTCATTATTCTTATGTTAACCTGCTATATTTGCTTGGCACAATGTGAGATTCTTATGGATCATAATTTGCCAAGAATTAAGTCAGGCTCCCATATATGATTACTGCACTCTAAATTTTCCACCCACCAAGAAGCATCTAAATATTCCATTGCAATAAAAATGAGGCAGAAGGGGAGGGGAAGCAGGGCGAATCTGTCAACTGAAAGACCAAATTTCATTTTTTCACCACTGATTATAAGGTTAAACTTTTAAAATAATAAATAGATCTGATTAAAGCTGTTTGCCCAAAGTGAACATCTTAGCTCATTTCTCTCTTTGCAGGGAAAATGGAAACCAGTTACTTATTTCAGTTCAATTCCTCTTCCGTTGAAAAGGAAGCTTATGCCATTTAATAACAAGAAGCAAACAAGCTGCATAGTGACACATTTCCCCAAACCCTAGCTTATGCTTCTGTGTAAAACCTATTGTGGAGTTAAAAGGGCTTTCTGCATAAAAAGAATCAATGCAATCAGTTCTCAAAATAAGAAATATTTATGCTATTCCTACTACTACGCGTTTCATCTTGAAATTCAGATGAAAATGAATTGCTCGAACCTGTCCAGCAACTACCAGATTTTGCTTCAAGCCACTCATCCTGGTCGCTTCCTATCTGTTTCCCCTTTTTCTTTCTCTCGGGTACAGATGGCCAGGCTAGAAGAAAGATTTAATACTGGAAAGGAGGAAAATGACAAACTTATCCAAGGCAGAAATTCTTCTAACTATGGCTCAAAGGACCCTATATATAGAAGTAGTGGTCAGATTTGCAAGAGTTAGTAAAACTTAAGTTCCATACTCAAATATTTGATTAAAAGACCACCCTTTTAGTTTAAGACTGCAATGTTACCTTATGCAGAGTACTTATACAAAACTATCGTGCTTCCCTTCATAAATCACATTATAATCCATCTAATTGGTATAGATTTGCATGATTGCAAAGTTCATGCAATGAATGATTGCAAAGTTCCTAAAAGATAAGTTGGGAGCAGACCCAGGACACCCTCTTTGAGGGCTAAAATAAGAGCATGAACACCCACAAAGTTAGGGCAACAACCCTCCCCCCCCCAAAAAAAAAAAACAGGATGCAATTAGGAACTGACTGGCTTATTTAGGTTGAAAAACAGATACATGATGTGAAGAATGCAGGACTGGTTTCTTTATTCTTTTGCTTCTCCATTCTGCTTGTTTTCCTGCCTAGCTAGATGCAAGCTCTGCTCATTTTCTTACCTCCATGGGTGTTCAAGGTCTTCATCATGGTAGAAAAAAATTACTTTTCATCATTCAGATTTGTTTCTTAGGATAGAGAGGATTTCCACAAATAAGCAGTTTAGTTAAGGCACACACTCTTCCACACACCCTATGCCTGCAATCTGGTACCTACATTTTATAATAGAAAACCTTCGATTCACCAGTATTGGCTGCTGGAATGAGGTGTTTGTCCAGTACATCCAGAATATCACAACAGATTAGTTTCAATTCAGTCTCAACCTTGGAAGGGGGAAAAAGTTTGTAGAAAGAGTTTAATCAAAGCATTTGAAGCTGAATTCAACTAACAATGTATGAGAAAAATAACTGCCAGTCAAATAATGCCCAATATATTCTCCTGCCTGTCAAAGGGACAGCTTTGGAAAAGGATGCTCTCCCCACTCCCCCCTGCTGATCTAGTCACAGCTGGCGGCTCCAGCCTGGCTCCAGCATTAGGCGGCTAACAACCTCCCCTTCCCCCCACCCAGCAGCACCTACAGGAGAAGGTGGGGAAACTAGATGGGAACATATTTCCTCTCTACACTATTAAAACTCCCACTTCTGTAACCGTATGCATATCGTAGGGCAACAATTTTTGAACCAAAATATCTCAAGTCAGCCAACTTATAGAATGAATCCAAAAATCTGGGACGCATGACTTCCGTGGAACTGAAATTTGGAAAACTTTATAAAAATTTTATGACATAAAATTATCATAAAGCAATTTATGACATAATACAAAATGTCATAAAATTTCTATTTCATGGCAGTTCTACTCTGAGCATATCCCATCTTTTCAAACTAAGGCAGGATGTTCTGTCCTTGTCGAAAGCGTTGAGGAATCCGGCAAGGAAATATCTCTGAAAGGATGAGCCAACAGGCCACATGGGTTGCCTAATCTTTCCATTCTGGACGTGCTGCCATGACACCCCATTCTCTCTACCATGGAAAAAAGGGGTTCTTCGTGACCAACTGGTTCTTCTTGTACTAAAACCAGGGCTCTGAGAAAGCAATGGTTGGATTTATTCCTGGGCACCGATTTCACCAGATGGCATATTGATCCCAACATGTAAAGGTGCCACAAACTCTGGCCAAGTCTCCCAGATAACCATCCCTTATACCTTGAGGAGAAGAGCAGGGCACCTTGATACGAGGCAGCTCTGTGACTGAGATCTAGCATGTTCCAGTGGAGAGACTGCCCATCACCGTATTACATCTGCATGGATATACTACACCCCCACCGAACATTTTTTTCTATTAGAAACTGAAGATAGAATAGAATTCTTTTATTGGCCAAGCGTGAATGGATTGGTGCAAATGCTCTCAGTGTACATAAAAAGATACATTAATTCATCAAGAGTCAAGTATCATAAGATGCAACACTTAACAATAGTCACAGGGTACAAATAGGGTACAAATAAGCAATCAAGTCATACTAGGAAACAGTCAATAAAAATTTGTTAGGATACAAGCAACAAGGTTACAATCATATAGTCGTAAGTGGGAGGAGATGGGTGAAAGGAAGGATGGGAGGATTAATAGCAATAGTAATGCAGACTTAGTAAATAGTTGATAGTTAAAATATCTGGAAAGCCTTTAAGAGGATGCACATCCACAGCGTTCCCGTTCATCAGGGCAAGTGATCAAGGCATGCAGAGCTCCTATACAGCTCTATTGCGCTGACATGGATCTCTGCATTCCTTTCACAGAAAGAAAGCTCAGATTTTGCCTCAAAATCAAGTCCAGGGAGCCCTTCACCAGATTCCAAACCTAAGAGGCCATGACTCTAACCCCAGAAGCGTGTATACAACACACACACAAGCCTGAATGGCCCCTGCAAAGCCTAAGTGATCGTGGCAGCCTCCAATGAAGACCAGTCCTCCTAGGCTGAACCACCTCAACATGGAAAGTTGCATTATTTAGAATAAAAGGACTGCCAATGTTGTTAAGTGTCCAGATTGAAGCTTAAATTATATATGATTAAAAAAATTCAAATATATTTGTGAAGTTCAATAGTTTCTCATTAGCATGCTTAGAGGTATTCTTGTGAAAACGACGATTGAGGACAGGCTTAAGGAAGCAGAGAACAGCAGCTATTATGTGTGCATTTCAGTTTTGAGTTTCTGGAATCATTTATCCACCCTCTGCTCCAAAGCAAGAACTGACACTAATGGGTCAATTTGGCTTGACCCAGCTATGGGGGTGCAATTGTTTAGAATTTTGCCTTCAGTGCCATATAGCACTTTTTAGGATTCGTAAACTTAAGTACAGTTTGCACAGAGGAAAGGTACAAAGAATCTATCAATAGGCTGAGAAACTATATAGTTCTATGTATCTCGATTTCTACTTAAAGCCCCCAAAACTTCATATGTATTGAGAATCTGCCTTACAATAATAAAGACATCCCATTCCCTGGATCTATTTTAAGAATCTGAGAGTGCCTCCTTCCCCAAGAGTTAATGGTTGCCTCTCCTAAGCTAACTCAGTAACTGAAATGGAACTTAAAATCCCATTTATAAACGAGCAAAACTTATGAAATAGTGTTACGGTGTGAAATGCTCTTATTTCCTTCCATCTCTCTCCCGTCCTCAACGGTTATTCCATAGTCGGTAAATGTGTTCAAGTCAAGTGAATAATTCAGTTTCACCCACGCACAGAGCTATGCTCAAAGGACTCTTTCGGCAACTCAGTGCAGTTTACTAGACCACTGGAAAGAGGATACATGTTGGAGACACATTCCAAAGCCTCCAGACTCTGCAGCTTCTTTCCACAGCAATCTATGCCCGTCTTCAGAAATAGAGCCATTCAGTCCATTGGGAGGAGGAAGAGAAAAGAGCTGGGCCAGAATGCCACAAGAGCTGCAAATGCTGTGGTGCACACACCCAGGACAGTAGAAGGAAATGGGATAAAAAGGTACCTCTACTCCACCCAGATGTCACTGCTAAACAAACCTTGCAAAACAAAACACAGCCACTTCCAAGCACGATTCTGGGGACTGAGGAAGTACAATTGCAGCACTCACCATTTGCCGATACTCCCGGATCATCTTCAATTTGTCTTCCCCACCTTTGTTCTCTTCCTTCTGCTCAATGCTACTGATTATTCTCCAGGAGGCTCTTCTGGCACCAATCACATTTTTATATGCAACAGAGAGCAAGTTTCTTTCCTCGACTGTCAGCTCCACATCCATTCCAGCCACCTTCTTCATTGATTCAACCATTTCTAAAATAGATATACACAACACAGAGACTTATGTCAGATTTCTCATGCCAAATATGGGAATAAACTTTATGGTCATCCAACAAAAATGAAACCAATATTGACAGTTCAAACCCAGAAACTTACCCTGATCCGTGTGTGTGACTATCAGACAAACCAGGCTGCAATGCCAAAAGCAGCAGGCCCCCATGGGAGCAAATATAAATGCACGTAGCAAAACTTTTTATGACAGATTAATCGAAGCCTTCCAAAGAACCATTGCTGCACCAATGCTGAGCAGTCCTGGAAAACAAAGCTGCAGCCGTGGCAACCAGAGCTCTGAATGGCTGAGATTCCAAATGCAGCCAGCTCCACTGACTGCTTCTTGCAAATTCTTGCAATCATCTGAAGACCTTCTCCCTTGTACAGTAGCATGAAGAAATGGGGCTAACAAATGCTATAGGAAAGTATGGAGGACACAGAAGGGAACCTCCCGACACAAGAGGAGGACTGCTTAGCAAATGAAATTCAGACACCCATTTATATCAAGCCATGAGCATTTCACTTGCCCATTCCACTAGAGGAATGTGGCCCTCTGGGCAGAGCTAGCCTTCAAGCTTATATTCAAGATAACCAGTCAAGATGATCACCCATGGCTGGGCTTTCCAGCAATATTACATCCCATACTTTTTGGGCATGAATCAAGTCAATATGTTAAAATTATTAGATTAACAACCTGCTTTTTTCATATTTAATCCGAAGCAGTGAAAATACCTAATACATAACAACATGGCCTGGAGATCTGGCTTGGCAGGAGGACAGCTGAAAGGGATTTGGGTGTGATGCATTAATAACTGAGCAGGTTCCAGATAATGGACAGTAACCATTCCCCTCTACTCTGCCCTGGATAGACCCCACCTGGGGTTCTGGGTCTAGTTCTATGAACCATGGTTCAAAAAGAACAGCAGGAAATTAAGAGCTTGGAAGATGATGATCAAGGTAGTGAATGGCTGGAAAACCAAACCTCATGAAGAAGAGTTACAAATTCTGGTTTTTTAACCCATAGAAGAGAAAACCGAAGGGAGACATAATAGCAGTTGTGGAACCTCGGAGGGATTGCCACACAGATGCGTTGGAGCGATTCTTTGTTGCCCCAGAAGTAATGGATTCAATTTAAAGGAAATAAGTTCAGCCTAGATGTTAGCAGAAACTTCTGGGTTGCATGAACTATGTCAGTCAGTGGAAGAGACGGCCACATGAAGCAACGTCTTTGAGAGGATGACTGGTCCTCTGCCAATGATGCCTTGATGGGTCTCATACTGAGCAAAGGACTGGATTTGATGCGTCTAAGGTCCCTTAACAAGCCCATGAACACGATCATCTCTCCCAATATTTTGATACTTTTCATTGAGACCCCACTCATGATATGTCCTCTTCTAGGAACCTAATCCAACACAGAACATGTTCAGCACCAGTTCAAACCATTCCGCATCTCCCAAGTATTGCAGAATTTAAATACTAAGGTAAGCCCTTCTGATATCTAGAGCCACTTCAACATCTGAGTGATGCAAACATACCCAGGTTTTGTCCATTAAAATGTGTTTTCAGAATGTGTCTTTAATTCTATTTTACAACTGTCAACATTTTACAATTTATCATTTTAAATGGGAAACACATGCAAACGAAATACAGTATCCAGTATTTAGGGGTTCCAAAATCCATACAGGATTCTGACCCTTTCCTGGCTTAGATCCAACATATGGGAATCACTGTTCCTAATTTCATATTTTATTGCTGTGTTTACACTTAGTACTGTTGATTTTATTACGTTCTTTGTAAGGTCTATGCCCAGAGAATATGTGAACTGTATGGACCGACATACTCTTGGGGTACTTGACATATTTAGTTTACTTTATTGTCATTGCACCTAGTACAACAAAATTAAATGCAATTAAATGAGGGGAACAGGAGCACCAAGACCACACTGTTCTTTTGCTTGTTCCCATGTATGTTGTGAAGTGGGGGTGGGTGGCACCCAAAATGAGTGTTGTTCCCTTATGAGAAGGCCAGCAATCTCCTCCCAGGTAGCTTGCTGGCCTGCTCACCCACAGGCTTTTGCTGATAGAGAAAATAAAAACAAATAATCGGAGTTTAGTCCATCAACTGGGTTTGTCTCCTGTTCTTGTTCCCCCCCCCCCCCACCAATGTGGCTTTGCCTTTTTCCAGCTTTCCTAGATCCCGACCTGCTAGGTAGGGAGCCCCCAAGGCCAGAGAGATGCTGGGGGACAGCAATCGACGTATTCTTGTGGCATTCCGAGAAGGAACAGTGCACTATTAGCGATTGCGCGCGCGCGCGTTATTCCTATTTGGGAGAAAAGGAGCAATTTCAACGCTGGTGCAACGCTGGAACCAGAGGAGGGAAATAAGGCAAGCGGCCGCCGCGGGAGGAAGCAGGCGGGGAGGGACAGATCGGTCGAGGCGCCGGCCTCTGCCTGACGCAGCCCGGCCTCTCCTGCCCGGCATGTGAGCCGAGCGAGGCCGTCGCGCTCCTTCACTTACTCGGCGCTTCCGGGCTCGGCCCTTTGGGGGGCCCCCGCCCTTTTTCCCCCCCGAGAGAGGCCGCACCCCAGCTTCGGCGGCCCTCCGCCCCCTCCCACCGCGGCCTTGGGGGAGGGTCGCCCGGGGCTCACCCCCCCCCGAGGGCTGGAGCGGCTCTGCGCGGGTGAGGGGGCGCCTCCTCTAATTCCCCCCCTGGCCTGCGGGGGGGGCCTTCTTCCGCCTCCTCCCCCCACTGCCGCCGCCTGAGCGCGCGGCCGCCATTTTGTCTGCGCCCCCCGCCCGGCGCTCCCGCCCTGCTTCCTCCGCCTCCCTGGCCGCCCGCGCCGCCATTTTGTCGCCGCTGCCCCGCCGCCCGGCTCCGGTCCGCTGCCGGCCGCCTCTCTTTGTCCCGGCCCGGTGGCCGCAGCCTCGCCCCCGCCTGGCGCTCTGCCCTGCCCGCCCCTCCCTGCTCGTCTCCCGCCGCCGCCCCGCGCACCATCGTAGCGCTCGGCCTGCTCGGCCAGCTTAGCCTGGTAGACGAGGTCCTCCCGGTCGTCCATGTCCGTGGGGCGAGGGCGAGGGCGGCGACGCGGGACGGATGGAGACCGATGGTCCGGCGGCGGGGGGGCTCAGCCACGATCAGCTCTCGCTGCTCTCCGGGCAAAGATGGCGGCGACACCTCCTCCCGCTACATCCGGGCAGTGCGAGCGCCGCGCGCAGGCGCCGCCACGCCCCCTCGCCCTCCCTAGCAACGGCTGGCCCTTGGCAACCGCCGGGCGGACGCAGGCGGCGTCGCTGTTTCCCGCCGAGGCAGGCGCTCTGCACCGGCTCAGAGAAGCATGGGGCGGGGAGGGGCGGGTACGGAGCCAGCAAGCCTGGCGGAAGAAGCGCCGGGAGCCTCCCCTTCTTCGGGGCGCCTTGCCCGAGGGAGCGGCGTCTCCTGGCGGGGCGACTCCTGCGCTGAGAGGGCCGGGCCCTCGACCCCCACCCGGCGGGGCCTCGCGTGGACGCGCCCGGCCTTGGCAGAACTCGGTGCCCTCCAGGCCGCCCGTCCCCAGCAGAGCCGGACGCTGCTGCTCCCCTTCTCTCGCCGCCTCCCCTCTGACCGCTCCTCCAGCTTTGTTCGTCGGCCAACTTTCTAAGCCGCTTTGGCCCCCTTCCTCTGAGGGGGACCCGACCCAACCCCGCGCGCTTCTCCGGCAGCTGCAGCCCCTCGTGGCCCACTTTTCCCTTCAGGAGGTGGAGGAGAACTTCAGGCGGCCCTTGGCCAACGAAAGAGAAAAGTTCAGGCTAATGTGTTTTTGTCAAAGCCTGGACCGACCCTGTTAATTGGAGCAGGCCTAGCCCGATGCTCCTAAATGCCCAGCCTGCCAGTCTTTCTGAGGACTTTGACCAGGACGGACATTAAATGGGCAGTCCAGGTCTTCCTCCTTCCCCTTTTGGAAGACACTGAAGACCCATCTTCTGGAACCTCTTGGGTCCTCCAGGAGCTCTCTGAGACTACTGCTGCTCATTTAACAATGGCAGTTGAGATGCGCATTCCAGTCGCTAAATAGCATATTGTAAAGCATGACATCACATGCTTTGCAATAGAAATTCCAGATTTTAGTTGCCGTTGTTGAGCGAATCCTGTGCTGCTGTGGAGCAAGGGCTTTGTGTGGTTGCCACTGGCAACCTCCTACCAGCTTCCCCATTGGCATTGCTTGCAGGAAGCCAGCAAAGGATGCTGCAGATTCTGTGGGATGGAGGGTGATGGTTAGGGAGAGGCTCTGGACGGGAGATGAGGCGGGTTACTCTTGGGGCACATGCTTCCTGTATGTTGCTTCAGTGGCACATTCCAGCCCTTTGCTCCCAGCTCTCTGTCCTGCTCAGCAGCCCTGGACAGTCTGGTGTTGATGGCTGTTGCCTGGTTGGTCTCTAATAAATAATCATCATCATTGACCTAACAGAGATGAGAGGGCCAATCTGGTATATATTACCAAAATTTAACTGAGCTTTGAGGCCTGTCTTCCCATCCCAGAGATGTGCGCAAGTGGGTTTTGGGCATGGCATCCGCTGTAGGGGTGGAAGTGTTAAGTTGTGTGACACAACACTTGGGTGGCTTCCAGAGACACTGCGGTTGATTGCTTGATATGAGGCCGTGTGTGTTAAATTGAGCTCCACAGTTCATTCAGGTTGTTATTGTATCAGCCTCCTTGCCTACCCTCCCTGATTCTGTGGCAGGTTGGTAATGGAGTTCCCAGGCTTACAGGCAGACCTGGATATGGGACTGCAATGGCTTTAACCACACTTCTAGATTGCTTGGGCGGGGGAGGGGGGGGCAGGATGCAGTTGCTGTTTTGGGGCCTGCTGTTCTTTAGTCAGAGACCCCTTAGTAGCCTTGATTCCCTTCAATCCTGATCTCCCACTGGACTGGCTCTCAGGTTTGGCAACACTGGTGCTGTGCTCCTTCCTCTGGTTTCAGTTGCAATAGGTGTCTGATTCGGTCATCCAGGGCACGGTTTTCCCAAAGGTGCTTTTTCAAAAGGCAAGTGGACTTTCTTGGTTTTTCCCCTTTGAAAATGTTTCGCTTCTCGCCCAAGAGGTTTCTTCAGTTCTGAGGTACAGAAGAAGCTTCTTGGATGAGAAGCGAAATGTCTTTAAGGAAAAACAAAGTCCAGTAGCTTTTTGAAAAAAGCACCTTTGGGGTTGCAGCAGATATTGGTGGAGAAGAGGTCAAGCCCCTGTTTGGTAGATGGGGGTGGGGGGTGAGAAGACTTGGTACTTTCTGTGCATGTTTAGCATGTCACATGAAACAACTGGGTGAGTGATCCAACGATTTGGGATTGAGGTATCATCACTATGTTGATGATACCCAGTTTTAGAAAGACATTCCCTTACAACAGACCCCTACTCTGACAGGCTGTTTGTACATGCAAGTATAAAAAACATACATTTCTTACCTTACATCTCTTCTGCCTCCGATCAATTGTGGACTGGCCCCAACCCTCACATCCTCCAAGCGGCAGGAAGTCCCTTGGCAACCTTGCTCAGACTTCAGCTGCCTGCACTGTGGGGAGGCAGTCATCCCATGGGTGGTTGGGACCCTCATTGGGAAAGGGCCATCAAGCAAGGCAAGTGGGCAAATTTTAGAGATTAAGGGGATGGTTTGCCAAACCACAGGGTGGCAGACAAATAGATCTTTAGAGCTGTTTGGCTTCATTTCTATAAAATCACTTTTTCTAGGAATGGGTGGTCATATAAATACAATGAATGGATGGGTGTGCTTTGGCAGAGCAGTCAAAGGAGTCAATTGTAGGTGCTGGTTGTTGCAATTAGTTGGGATACATGTTCAGGTTTGTTTGGGTCAGAATTCCGTATGGACAGGGTCTAGAATGATGAACATGTTAGCAAATGATCTGAGATTCTTTGTGGCCTACAGTCTGGGGAGAGATTGGAGGAACTCTAGGATGCCCAATTACTGGTTTGTCCAGGGGTGCACTGATTGGAGCAGTTGTGTCAGTTAAGGGCCTCCCAGACTTCTGGTTCTTGGCAGTTGAAGCTATGGCTTGGGGGTCTTTTGCCAGTTTTGGCTGGTGCACCGGTTGCAGACCTATCTCATATGAGGACCTGGTTGCTCTGATTCCTGCCCTTGTCCCACTTGGTCTACTGCAACACCTTTCATAAGGGGTTGTCCTTTAAAGACTCGCAAACTTCAATTAGTCAAAATTTTAGTGGCCATTTCTAATACCGGCATTACAGGCTCCATATTGCCTGCCTGTAGGCATTTGGGGGCAGTTTAAAGACATGGCTTTAACCTGTGTAGGCTTGGCACCAAGTTAACTGCAGACTGCCATTCAGCAGCTACAATTGGCCCAGCCTATGTGATCATGCTGAAAAAGAAGCTGGTGGAGACCCACTGTTGGGAGGTGTTGGGGGCTAGGACCTGGAGTGGCCCTTAGTTATATTAACTGGCCCACTAGAATGGCCTCCTAATCTAATGGATCATAGACAAGCTCTAACTTCGCGAATTGTTTGAATGAGGAGCAACTGTACTTTTTTATTTATAACTTATTCAATATAATATAGCTGTCCATCCAAAAGATTTTGAGTGGCATACAATATGTATTAAAAATAAATAATTGAAGCTCACAAACATAATCAGCCAGGACTAAAACCACAAACAGTACAAAAAGCTATCCAATAGGGGCTTGACCAATGGGTCATTCCATGTCAAGTGGTCTGATTTCAGAAAAGTGCCCTGCTCGACCATCAGGGATTTCAATGAAATTTTGTATGAACATGCACACATGTCCCCAGTGAATATTGGTAAAGCGTTACATTTGCCGATGCAATACTTGCAGATATAGTCATTTGTCTGACCCCATACCGCAGCAGGTTTCAGCAACTTTGAGACATATCATCTCCAGCAATATTTTGTTGAGAGAAACAAAACTTGGCCATCTTGTACAACTTTTTGTGCTCTATTAAACAAAACAATAAAAACATTCTCATGAGTGATCTACATAATTTGAAGCAAAGTTGGCCGAAAATATTGTGGCTCGAAAAAAGATTAAAGTTTGGCTTTTTATATTTCTGGAAGGAAAGGTATGATTAAACATAAAACTTGGTGCGTAAAAAGTTAGCAACACAAGGTTTTCAAATATAAAAATTCATTCTCTTACTGCTTTCTGAAAGTTTACAAATTGAGCGTGAAGTTGACATTTTTTGTAAAAATGCCAAAAATAGGGTATTTTCAGCCTGTTTTTATAAAAAAAGACTTGTTTCAAACCCCTAAAAAAGCAGGGTTGTTTTTTCATCACTGACATATAAAAATAGGGACAAAGTTGAGGACATTGCTATGGCAACATCACATGCATTCTATTATTATTTTTGTCTTGTTTGTTTTAGATAGACATCATTACTATTATTATATTGCGTTGGCCCATGGTGACATTGTCACTACCAGTTCAGGCACTTGAACCAGCAACCCCATTGACCTAGGGGGCATGCCCGGTACCCAGGTGGGTTTCTTGGTTCAGGATCCCAAGCCTGTAGTTCAGTTTCTTCCCTGAGGTTCCAAAGCCTTGGATATCTATCTGATTCCCAAGCTGATGATTGGGCAGTTTATCCTAGGAATCCAAGCGTAAACTGGGTGTCATATATGGTTCCAAAGCTGAAGTCCATACTGTTAGTATGAACTGCCAAATTCCAACGATCGCTTATTATTGAATTTACGTGCCATGTTCTTTAGCATCGCTTCTGGGAATTAATACTGTTGACCTAACAAGGCACTGGAAGCACGCAAATAAGATGTGGTTCTGGAACCCAACAAACATCTTGTCTTTCAGGCCAATGAAATGAATGAACAGGGCCTCGCGGATGCATACATTTTACCAATGCATCATTTTGTTCTATCAAAATTTCCATGATGTTGCCTACCCACCATTTTTTGTCATAAATGCAGGCAACATAACGAGGAAATATGTCGGCCAATTTTAAATTCAGATAGACAGTATTGGACATTTTGGCCACAAAGTTAATCGTGTCATTTGAAACTGTTGAGGAATTGTTTGACCCCATACCGCAGCCTTCTACAGTATGATTGAGATTTCAGCAATTTGAGACACATCTCCGGCAATATTTTGTTGAGAAACAAAACTTGGCCATCTTGACTATGTCTCCGCAAGTATTGAATTGGCAAATGTAATACTTTACCAATGTTCATTGAGG